AAATGATACATATGAGTTTAAAATGTTGGTGTGGATCAAAAATTATGAAGTTTGACTGTAAATTGGTCATGGTTGACTTTTTCCCCAATACAGCTGATTTTTAGGTCAACTGTTCAATTGACCGATCAAAAGTGTGATCCAAAGCTTGAAACTTGACATGAATAATCTTGAGGGTCCATAATGATCCTTGAAAGTCATATGAAGTATTGATAATCCAAAAATTCTTATGCCAACTCAAACCCTAATTTTGATCATTAGTGCATAAGGGGGTGTCTTGAGCTGATCAAACCCTAGTGCAGTCTTGAACCCAATGAGATCTTGTGAGCAAATTCTTGATAAGTGAGAGGGCAAATTTTGAGGTACAACAACTACGATCACTGATTATATTTCTACAAGAACACTTTAAGCATGGACATCTTACCCCTCCATCTCTACAACACCATTCGTGAGTAAACACATACTCCCTCCATTCCTATTTATAAGAAAATTTTGACTTTTTAGATTCAGTGAATAATTGATGTATCTAACCTATATATGGACCAAATACATCATTTATTCAATGAATCTAAAAAGTTAAAATTTTCTTATAAATAGAAATGAAGGGAGTATGTGAGAAACATATCAAGTCCTTCCTTAAATTGTGGTTTAAGCCCACGTCTTCTCGGAAACATCCTATCATACATCCAACTACGATAGAATTGATAATATTCCATATTGCACATTTATAACATTATTTATGTTTAAATTTATTAGACAAAAGGGGGAGTAATAATATATCAACAAATAAATGAGTATACTATTTTTATTAATAATATAGTATACTAAATAAGTAAGTATACTATTTTTTATATAAATTAAATGTATTATGTTTTATTTAAATTAAATATACTTTTTTATATACTAAGTAAGTATACTATTTTTTTAAATAAATAAATATACTATTTTTTATATAAATTAAATATATTATATTTTATTTAAATTAAATATACTTTTTTTATATACTAAATAAGTAAGTATACTATTTTTTTTAAATAAGTAAGTATACTATTTTTTATATAAATTAAATATATTATGTTTTATTTATATTAAATATTTAAATTACATATAAACTAAATATACTGTTTTTTCTATAAACTAAATATATTAATATTATATAGATTAACTATATATTTGACATATTTTATATAAATTAAATATACCTTTTTTTATATAAATCAAATATATATTGTTTTCCAAAATAACTAAGTAAACTATTTATAAATTAAATATACTATTTTTTTATATAAATTAAATATATTATATTTTATTTAAACTAAATATTTACTAAATATACTAAGTATTTAAGTTAGATATAAATTAAAAATATATTGTTTTTTCTATAAATTAAATATATTATTATTTAGATTAATGAAATATTTATTATATTTTATATAAACTAAATATATATTTTTAATATAAATTAAATATATATTGTTTTCCAAAATAACTAAGTAAACTATTTATAAACTAAATATACTGTTTTTTTATATAAATTAAATATATTATGTTTTATTTAAACTAAATATTTACTAAATATACTAAGTATTTAAGTTAGATATAAATTAAATATATACTGTTTTTTCTATAAACTGAATATACTATTATTTAGATTAATTAAATATTTATCATATTTTATATAAATTAAATATACTTTTTTTAATATAAATTAAATATATAATATTTTTCAAAATAACTAAATATACTATTTATAATCTAAATAAACTGTTTTTTATATAAATTAAATATATGTTTTTATATAAACTGTTTTTATGATATATAATATATAATATATAAACTATTTAATATAATTAAATATATAAACTGTTTTAATATAATAAAATATATAATATATAATATATTTTGGAATAAAAAATTTAATATATATAAATTGTTTTAATAATCTATTTAATATAATGAAATATATAATATATAATATATTTTCGGAATAAAAAAAAATATATAAACTGTTTTAATATATTATTTAATATAATAAATATATTTTATATAATATATTTTCGAAGAAAAAAAAATATAAACTGTTTTAATATATTTTTGGAATAAAATAAATAAAATATATATTATATTTTCAGAATATTAACAATTAACTTAATATTATAAACTAAATCTAACATATATAATTATATCAACTAAATCTAATACATATCTAAACCAATTTAATTTACCTAAATATAATATATAATCAGAAAAAATTTCAATAAAAAAATAAAATAAATTATATACCTTGAAGCTTTATTAAACAAAGCTTGTTGATGGAGGAAAAAAAAGAATGAATGAGGAGGATGAGAGTTGCTGAGAAGAGAGAATCTGAAATTTGTATGGTTTATGAAACAAATGGAAGAGAAAGAGGAAGATATAGAGCGCAAACGGTGTAAAATTTTGCTTGGGGTTAGCCCCTCGCTAAGTGTCAAACGGTACCATAATTAGCTTGGGGCTAGCTCATCGCTAGCTGACACTAAATGTTATTTCTCTGCCACACGCAAGCTGGTTCAGAGATGGTTCAGGTGTAACAGTGATGTAAAAATGGGCTTGGGGATAGCCCCTTGCAAAACTACTTATTTATTGGCGAGGTGATGGCCCCTCGCAAATGACCAACGGCTATTTTTATTGACGAGGTGCTAGCCCCTCGCTAAATGATTTTTCTTTTTCCCACGTGCCACCCCCTCGCAAATGGTCAACAAATTTATTTTCAAACTCCCTCCTAAAATTTAGTTACAGGAAGCTTCAAATTTTAAAATTTTTTTTTGTATATTATTTAACCAAGAGATAACCCCAAACTAATGTTAAATTTAGCTAGGGACTTAACCCCTAGCCATTTGTCCCAAACTGAATCACATTATTCTTGTAGTGTGAAATCCATTACTGCAACTTCATCACACAACCATACTTCCATCTTCTTCATTTAACCAACACGGTCTGACCTCCATTTCTTCAACTTTAATAAGTTACATGAATTTTGATATGAATTAACAAATTAACACTAAAGCTTCTGGTATATCAATGTTACCATACAATTTAACAAGGAATCAAGTGCTAGTTTGGACGGTTGTTGCGTTTTGATTCTTTATACAAAGTGTTTTTTTCTATATAATTCTTGTTACTACATTATACAGATGTTTGTGGATATTTGTATAAATTGCAACAGATAGTGTAATACATGTTAGAAGAAAAATACTGTAAAAGTTGTGGGCATCGTGTGTTTGTTATGGCATTATTCTAATTAAGGTTTCATGTTCACTTCAGGAACTTCTATTCGTTTATGAACACATGTGAAACATTGTCTAACCTCTTACATAATACGACTGGTGAAAACAAATGTGCATCTAACATACAGATTTTTTGTTGGCGTTATATGTCGGGTCGATTACCAACTGGAGACGAACGTTTCAATACCAAGAGCTTTGACAGCAGCTGATTATTTTATGGAATTTTGAACTAAACTAAGAGGTTTGAAAAATCTGAAAAGTATGTTCCGGTTAGTTACTATTTGGAGTAATGGATAGCATTAAAACGATGTCATGGAATTGGTTTAAAACCAATACCGGTAATTAATTTCGAGCTAAACTAAAACAAAGAGGTTTGAAGAATCTGAAAAGTATGTTTCAGTTATGTCATCATCACTCTCATCACTAACATGTTGCATGTGTATGAAAAATCTGAAAAGAATCACACTGGTTGAAATGCCAATAATTAAGAAACACTCCGATAATAGAGTCTAAGGGATTATATAGAATGATGAACAGAAAAGCAATTCCTGGAAGCAACCAACGTAATCCAGAATATAGATCACCACTTCATGCTTATTTTGAATATGAAAACACATGCTTATCATACGAAACATAGAGATTAAGATAAGAATGATCTGGTGAAATAATTAGATGTTGCTATATACAAAGCAGAGAGAATGAGAGAGATTGGAAGTGGTCATGTTTCAGATATAAGTCCCACATCTAAATGGGAATACGAAATGAAACTGTTTTATATAACACTTTTACACATTAGTTTTACCAATTCAATAAGCTAATGGGCTGTTCAATCTTGACTAAAGACCCAATATAATGTTTTGAATCTTTAAAGTAATAATTCATAAAAAATATTAATAAAAATTATAATAATAATTCTTAAAAAGTATTAACTGAAGAAAATATAATATACAAGTAAAAAAAGATTAAAAAAAATAAAAAATAAAATAAAATTTCACATAGATTTTAAAAAAAAAAATTACCGGCAGTTAAGGAGAATCTAATGCAAAATACCATTGATAGTAACATTTCCACAATTTTAATTTAATTAAGTAAATTAACACAAAATGTGACATACATAGGCATACATGAAAACCAAAATAAATATGGTACAAATACCAATTTAGTAAAAAAAACCATTAGGTTATAGTAATAAATAATATATTTATCCAGGTGTTAAGATTTTTCTTAGATTCCTTATTCATAAACTAAATAAATAATAAATTAGACAAATATTAAAAAAAAAAAACACATTTATAATCGCAAGGTGTTCTACTTCTAGTCCCCAATCGAGGAAATGTCATGCAACACTTTTTATAGACCATAATGTTATGTCAACTAAAATAGTTTACTCACAATCAATTACCAAAAATAGAATTTGGCTAACCTTTCTCATATCTCTTTCTCAATGTGGCCAACAAATACACGCAATCCCAAGGCTTAATAGTATATTCACTGAACCCCTAGATATCATTGCCATTTTAGCGCCAAACATTCTAGGCAAGTTGTAATGCGTGAAATAACTTGTTGTACATGGTGTCACAAGAACTCCCATGTTCACTTAACATTAGTCAAACATCAAAATTCACCATGAAGACCTTGACCAATACTGGAATTTAAGAAAACATGAAAGTAGCTATATGTTAAAATAAAATTCATCAAATTCATCAACACCTGTTGCGAAATGTGTCTGTCACTCCATCAAGATATGATTAGTGGCTTTGGCTCAACCCCTCTATATACATCAACAATTATATCAGAAGTGTATCGATTTGCAATAACACTCAATCCAATTCCTTGTCTACTCAATTCATTACCTGTCCAAAACAATAAGTTGATAATCATCAATAAGAAAATTCATAATAGATGCAGTTGCGTAACAATAAGTCCAAAATAATAAGTTAATTTGTAACATAAACAAAAAAATGATCATGATAGTTTTAAATAACAGATGCAGTTGCGTAACCATTGCGGTTGTCGCAGAGTGAATTAATCACAATTTATTCTTTATCATAAAAGTGGTGAATAACAATATCAATATTAGCATCTTCATATACCATTTTGTCGTGGCCATTACCGACCGACTTCATAATTTTACAGAAAAAATCAATTCAATTCTAAAAAAAATAGTAGGCTACAAGAGCTATAAAGGTAGGCAACAACAGGAACAAATCTATTCAATTAGCTCTTGAGGTACTTGAAGCATCCCTCTATATAAGGTAAACAAACCAAGAGAGTACATTTTTCATTACCATTCATCATTACTTTGTGATTTGGAGACTTTATTCTATCGTTGCTCCAAGCCTGCACATAACACATTTATTAAGTAATATACAAACCATGTCATTATTTCAAAATTAGTTGAAAATTCTCACCATGAGTGCATCACCAGCCATGACAACAAAGGAAGTTGGTGAAGAGATATCAACTTCAATCCAACTACCATCCTTTTTCTCTACCATCAGTCCATTCACATGATTTTGATAAAGAATAGTTGTGAAACTTTTGTCAGTGTGAGCCACAAAGCCAAGTTCTAATATATTAAATATAGAAAACTGACATAAATATATATTCCTTAAAATTATTGTATCTATCAGTTCAAAATATGAACTATTAAAGTTTAAAGGATATGCATGATGAATCAAAATTAATAGTTTTATGCATGAAACATCATAAGTGAATCAAAATTAATAGCTAATAATACCAACCTTCACAAGTTCTATGTAATCCATTTGATAAAGTTGATCACCACACAATATCAGAATGTTCTCTATGTTCTATGCTCAGCATCCTAAACTCAAGTTCTAGAAGCTCATTAAGTTTTCTGATTAGCGAAAAGATTATCATGCCAAATCTATAATAGTATGAACATGAAAACTAACTATGGCATACCTCAAACAACCAAATGAACCATCTTACAGCATCTTCCGTGCCCTAAAACCACTCATTTTCTGAACCGTCTTACAGGATCGGCTGCTATTAATACATTTACTCATTGGTACATCCACCAGCCTCTGACATCCTCTAAATGGCACCTAAGCATCACAGATCAGTGAATTAATGCCTAGATAGAGCAGTTGCTTATCTGCTTATGAAGAAAATTAATTGAAAAAACCAAATATCTTAGAATACAATTCATGAAGACAAGACTAATATGTTCAATTTCTAACATATTCCATAAAAACCACTTTGGTGCACAAATAATTTATTTTGAAAAAAAATTTATAATTCACATTTGCAGTATCAAAAGGTAAATTGAACTGAAATGTCTTTTGGTTCAGTTCAATGTTCTTCTATTTCAAAATCAAAGAAATGAACCATTTCTAAAATTAAAGAACAAAACAACATATATGCCAAATTGAACCATTATCTATGGAAACTTTCAAAACCAACAGAACTGTATGCGCTGCAAACATCAGAAGAACCTTTGTACGATATTTAATATGCAAGTGGCAAGCTTTGAATAAATAAATAAATAAAAACCATCAGATTGGAATCTTCTTTCTTTTTCTTGGCTAAAGACATCAAATTTTTACGGTATACATGTGGCTAATTCTCACCTCTCTTGACTCTTTCATTAGGACAATAAGTATAACTTGAGCTTTTGTCCACTGAGATCCATTCCCATCAGTAGCATACAATATATTCAGTACTGCGTCAAATTTATCATCAACGTAAAAATAATGACAAAAGAGGCAAGCCGCAATTATAAACACATCAAACTTGCCACATATCAGTGTTTACACCAAAACATGTAAATCCTTGGATTTCAATGTGATTTTAAGCTAAATTAAAAACTGATAGATAAATAAATGTAAAAACATAAATCACAGATCAAGCATAAAAAGATCGTAAGCGACATCATAAAACCCTAAAAATGCGAGTAAATCAGAAGCTTACATCTGAGGCGTTACTGATGAGTTTCATTAGAAAGATCTCCTTGTTGGAGTAGAACGTGTTGATGATAAGACTGAGAAGCTGGTTGATCCAGGCCTGAAAGGCAAACGTTTTGGTTTCTGACATGGTAGATCCATTGGTTGAAGAGAGATCGATGGGTTTCTAACATGGTTAATCAACAATGAAGAAAGTTAGCAATAATAGAAAGCCATATCATGTAAAGATCGAAGTGAAGGTTGAAGAATCACATGGATTTCCGGTGGCGGAGCTTTTACGACCGTCAATAATGACTGATAGTGAGTGTCAAAATAGTCTCAACTCTCTGCAAAAACAGTCTGAAACATCGATAATGGTTGATAGTTGTGCTGATATTGATTGTTTTCTGCACAAAGAAATAAGAAAGAAGAAAACGAAGAAAGAAGGTGAATTGGGAAAAGAGAATAAAGAAGGAAGAAGAAGAAGAGAAAGAGCGTGAATTGGGAAAAGAGGAAAAAGTTGAATTTGATAGGTTGATTTAGAACCAAAGATAAATAAGTGACGTCATTATTCCATTCAAATCTAGGAAGCAAAAACATAATATAATAAAGATATAGTTAAAACTGAACAATATGATATCATTAACTGCAAAAAATAAATTTTAAATGTAAAATATCCTCAAAATAATAACATGGCAGATTTAGAGATAAAGATATAGATTAGTTTTCGTAAACATCTAATTTTCTTATAAAGATATCATTTATTTCAAGTCATAAAAACTACTGCTTACCGGCAGCGAAAAAAGTAACAACTCATACAAAAACTACTTGACCTCGTCAGCGAGAATTATAACCGCTTCAACTCCAAAGTCATGGTTGTTTCCACCACTCTCCTCCACCTTCATTCTTGATCTAATCTACCCCAACCCTCTCTCTCTCTCTCATCCATGTTTTCTCCATTTTTGATTTCTCTCGGTTCTTTCTTTGCGTAGTGGACTCAGCATTCTGTTCCGTTAGAAACTGGTTTTACTTGTTCGAAGATGAGAGGTCCAACTCCAAGTGCCGTTGAGCCGCGTCACCGACTGTCAACATTGTTCAGGTAGCTTATATTGATACAAAAGGAACGGATGAACCCTGATTTGAATTTTGATTTGTTCGTTTAGTTTTTATCTTAGTTGAAATTCCTTTGTATTTATCGTTATTGTTCGTAGTAGATACCTAATTTTTGTGTTTATTGTTGAGTATCACACTTATTGATAAATGAGTAGTTGTAGTTGAGTAGAGTGAATGGAGCTTAAAGGTTAACGAGAGTAGTAGTGTTTAATCTTTGGATTGTATTCTGTAACCCTAAGTATTGCATAATCAAAAAACTAGAATAGTATTCACATTGTTGCCGGAAATGCATATTCGATCTATAAAGCATGGACACCTGAAACACGACACTGATACTGATATGTCAACACCGATAATAATTTGAAAATATGAATAAATTAAACGCAATCACAAGTTTGAGACAAAGACACATACACACCTTTTTTAGAGGTGTCGGTGCTACAAGCTACACAATTGACTTATTTTTATCTCCTATGCGTTTTCTCATTTGATTCTTGACAAAATTTCCAGTAGAAAACTCCTTTCGTGGTATGAGTTTCTATTTAAGAAATTACGGGGGAAGCTGCCATCAATTTCCTGGTATTAGGTCCGTCCTTAATTGGCTAGACTATGTGATCAATCGTTTGTGTTGTTGTGTGTATATATTTGTTTGTTTACTTTAGAGCTAGTTTGTTTACTTTAGAGCTAGTTTGGTTGTTTTAACATTTATGTAATTGTTTTGTGGGTTAAGCTAAACTCCTTATTAGATATGTGAGCTATCTTAGAACCTAGAGTATCTTGAAATCCTTTATAGCATTCGAGATGCTAAATACTTAACATTGTCGGTCTTGATTTATTTGTGTAATTTTCATTTGTATTATTTTGTTTGTAATCTAATGCTATAATTGCTATTGTTATTCATATTTGGCACTTTCAACTTGTAAGGAGGTTGTTTGATCAAATGTTTCTTGAGAATGTATCTTCGAGGGCGGTTGTTTTGGAGTCTGGCTTCTGGTAGTTTGTTTGTATGTTTTTTCTTTGGCTTTATAGTTTTCCCCTCTGATTTTTTTTCCGGTTTCGTTTTGAAGCTTTTGGGGGTACATCTTATGTCACTCGTCTTCTCATTTGTATACTGTTTGTGCTATTCTTCCCTTTATTAATATTATTGTTATTTTGCCTTTCAAAAAAAAAGTACTGAGTAAGCGTGGCAAATACAAAATTTTGCTTGCAAATGGTGCTAGGGTGCAAGAATAAAGCTGTTAAATATATTCATCGATATTCTTAAGGGGACAAAGATTCTGTACTTCATAACATCAACCATTCTCAATTGATTTTGGTTCAATTATATATTTGAAGAGGAAGAGATTCTGAATCAATTATCAAAAAGAAAAGAAAGGTTTAAAAGACTGAGTTTATAAGGGGATATGGGCACTATTGTCTAATTACTTAGAACTTTGTTTTCTTTTTACATCTGTTTCTCATCTCATAAATATAAAGTATTTATTATGTTCTCATCTCATAAATATAAAGTATTTATTATGTTCTCATCTCTTATGTATGCAGTGAAGATACTAACAAAAGAAGGTCTCAAAGAAATAAGGATTTTAAAGATGTTGAGAAAGCATCGCATGTTTCCTTCCAAGATAGGGCGATGAATTGCAAGCCGAATTGGAAATTTGTTCTGGTTATTATTATATTGGGAACCTTGCTTACAATTTTCCATCCTCCAGCTGTCTATAATACTGATCATATATCAAACTCTATATCACGGTATGCTTATGCATTCTTTTTACCATGTTTTTACATTCTATTGCACTATCTTAAGCTTTAGTTGTTTCATGCCATTGTATTAGTTTCGTTTCTAAATTTGGTCTTTTCTTAAAACATGTAGTTTGCTCACGGATTCTTTCATCCCTTTTAAGCATAGAGCATTAATTTACAATTGTTAGGATATATCTGTCTCCCTAGTAACATTTCTTCAAAGTTCAAAGCATGCATCATTATGAGTTTATGTCTTGTTACCTCACATTATAATACAATAACAACAAGGTTGTCGAGTATTGCGGCTATAGCATAGCGGAATTTGAACAAATCGTTATTGCTCTGCGATAAGCAATTTAGTACAAAATGTTGCAGCTATAGTGGAGCTATAGATTTGTAGCATCACACAATTTGAGAAAATTGCTCCGATCCGCTAATGACAACGCTGATTGGCAATTGATTTGTCCAAATAGTAAATAGTGATTTTTATTTATTTTCTTCTCTTTGCATCTTATTATGGAGTTTTTTTTTTGGGTTGCAGGTCAACATTGGTAAACAACAGGAATGGAGAGATCGGTGGAACTGATCCCCGTTATGTATCATTTCTTAATATCGACTGGAACCAAATAACTAATGTTCTTGAAAATTTGAAGGATAAGGAGACATATCAGGGTGTTGGCTTACTAAACTTCAATGACAGTGAGATTGACAACTGGAAACAGCTGGTACCAGAAACCGAGCATGTAGTCCTTCACCTGAACTATGCTTCAACTAACATCACTTGGGAAGACTTGTATCCAGAATGGATAGATGAAGAAGAAGAATACGAGTTTCCTACTTGTCCATCACTACCTAAGATTCAGGTACCAGGAAAACCACGGCTTGATCTTATTGCTGTTAAGCTTCCCTGCAACAAGTCAGGGCGCTGGTCGAGAGATGTAGCTCGTTTGCATCTGCAGATTGAAGCAGCAAGACTTGCTGCTACTTCCAAAGGGCTTCGTCCTGTTCGTGTGCTTTTTGTGACTGATTGTTTCCCTACTCCAAATCTCTTCACTTGCAAGGATATTATAAGACGTGAAGGGAATGTCTGGCTTTATGAACCCAACCTGCATAAACTCAGAGAGAAGCTGCAGTTACCAATTGGTTCATGTGAACTCTCAGTTCCATTCAAGGCTAAAGGTCAGATTCTGACTTCCTTTTTTTTCTTCTTTTTATATGTCATACTGAGTTTACTGTGTCCTTATTCTTTTAGCACTTCAATGTTAATGAACACAATAGATACTAGTCAATGTGTCTATTGAGTACCGGATCTGAATATTAAAGAAAACAAAGTATTATCGGTGAGTGTATGCAGGACTCTACCTCCCATATTTTTAAAAATCCTAAAAGCCACACACTTTTCCTTTCCATTTTTTTTACACGGTACATCCCACATATCTAACTACCTCATGGAACTGATTATTTAGTGCTTAATGTCAGAGAAAGCATGAACTTTAAATTTAAATGAGGATTCAATCCCATTGTCTGGTATATTTAAACATAGAAACATGTCTTAGGTTATAGTACATTTTAATCTTAGTGTATTCCAAAAAACCAATATATGGCTTTTGAAAGTGGTTTCTTTCACTCCCTTTGAAGTTCCACTATACATGTACTTAAATAGATATATTTATCAGAGACTAACTGTCTTACTTTTGACAGAAAATTTTCACTCCGAAAGGGCACACCGAGAAGCTTATGCAACAATCCTGCACTCTGCACATATATATGTTTGTGGAGCTATTACTGCAGCTCAAAGTATTCGAATGTCTGGTTCAACACGTGATCTTGTGATTCTTGTTGATGAAACAATCACTGATTATCATAGGGGTGGTTTGGAACAAGCTGGATGGAAGATTCATACTATTAAAAGAATCAGGAATCCGAAAGCAGAACCAGAGGCATATAATGAGTGGAACTACAGCAAATTTCGTCTCTGGCAGTTAACTGATTACGACAAAATCATTTTCATTGATGCCGACCTTCTTATACTCAGAAATATTGATTTCCTTTTTGAGATGCCTGAAATATCAGCCATAGGAAACAATGCTACACTGTTCAACTCAGGTGTAATGGTGGTTGAACCGTCGAATTGTACATTTCAACTACTTATGGATCATATCAATGAGATTGTGTCCTACAACGGCGGGGACCAGGGTTATCTTAATGAAATTTTCACATGGTGGCATCGGATTCCGAAACACATGAACTTCTTGAAGCACGTCTGGGAAGGCGATGAAGAAGAGAAAAAGGTGACAAAAACTCGTCTCTTTGGAGCTGATCCACCAATCCTCTATGTCATCCACTATCTAGGTAATAAACCATGGCTTTGTTTCCGAGACTACGACTGCAACTGGAACGTGGACATTCTGCAGGAGTTTGCAAGCAATGTAGCTCATGCGAGGTGGTGGAAGCTTCACGATGCAATGCCAGAAAACTTGCAGAAGTTCTGTTTGCTTAGGTCAAAGCAGAAGGCGGCATTGGAGTGGGATCGTAGACAAGCCGAGAAAGGTAACTACAGCAATGGTCACTGGAAAATCAAGATAAAAGACCCACGATTGAAAACGTGCTTCGAGGATTTCTGCTTCTGGGAGAGTATGTTATGGCATTGGGGTGAAAAGAATTGGACAGATAATTCTACTGTTAACAATTTGCCACCTGCTGTCAAAACCAAATCTCTATCTTCTTTATGAGCTTACTTTCTGTTCATACTTTGAATATAATGCTTACACAGTGTGATTTGATTTCTTTCGATAGTCTTATACTGTAAACAAAATATGATTGCTATATTACACTTGGGCCAATATTATGCTGCAGCTAGTCATTATTCTTTTTGAGATTTATTAAGTACAGTCATGTGCAAATGAATACACTTCTTGTTTTTAATTTTTGTTACTAATCAATGAGGCTTCTAAAGTATGAATATAGAGTGTTGATATTGACACCCTTGTTTTTATACATTGTACAGAATACACAGTTTTCCAACGTCACATACAGCAAAGATCCTACCATTTTTTTTAAAAATAAAGACACAACAGATCAGCAAGAACTACATAGCAAAATAAGTTAATGCTAAAAAAATAAGAACAAGCAATACAAGTAAAATAAGCTAAGAAAGTCCAACCAGAAGTGTTTTCCACTGCAAACAAACAATCCTTGAGAAACTTTGCACGAAAGTACCAACAATTTTTTCTTATAAATCCACACTTCAAGTCAAGAGTACACTCAAATTAACAACATATTCCAAACAAACATCAACTTTTTACAACATCAGATATTGTACAAAAGAATCAAAATGGCCTCAATTCAACCCAACTTCTATTTTCCTTACCCCCTCAACCCTCCACCTTCACCTTTCCACCCTTTTAACCCTCCACCACCTCATTCCTTCAAATCTCCACCACCATCACCACCATCTCATTCATTTCCTCCCCCTCCTCCACATGGACACGCTCCACCACCATCATCTCATCCATTTTCCCCTCCACCACCACATGTTCGCCCACCACCATCTCATCCATTTTCCCCACCACCACCGCACGTCCACCCACCGCCTTCTCCACATCACCCGATCACCCCTCCTCTACCTCCGCACGTCCGCCCACCCCCACCATCATCTCCACCTTCTCCCTCTCCATACCACCCTACAGTCATTATCATTGTGATCATCGCATTAGGCGGGGTTGCCTTGCTTTCAATGCTTGCTTTCGCATTATTTTGCTGCATTCAGAAGAGGAAGAAGAAAACACAAGCAACCGATATCGTTCACATTGACGAACATAAAAAGATTACAGAAACAATTGTGCCTGGTCCATTTGGAAAACCAACAGTGATAATTTCCGTCGAAGATGATGTTCATGTTGATGAAGTAATCAAGAAGAATGAAGCAGTTGGTCATGGTTTACATGCTGAAGCATCTAAACCTGAACCAAATCAAAACAATACTTCAACTAGTAATGAAGTGGCAACAACTACTACTACTTCTCCTGGTCGTGAACATCATGGTATTTATCCATAAATTGAGAACAAATCCTTCATGGTGGGAAGTGTTGTGTGTATATTCCCACAGAGATATTATATATCCTCGTGCATGGACTCCAAACAAAGGACCATGTTTCAACTAAATTACTTTCATGAATAAATATATATCATTAATTTTTTTCTCCATTTTGGTTTAATAAACCATTCATTTGTAAAATCTCCTTCTAACAAAATATATCTAATTTGAATTTGAATATATTCGATCATTGCCTCTCATAAGATTTTATTTTTGTTACATGCCTCTTAAATGTAAGGATAAAATTGACAAGTGAATGCTTAATATTATTAATGAAAGGGAATGATCAACTTCTATTGAAGGATCCGGTACACAAAAGAGAATAAAGAAGATCACATAATTTAGAGAATGTGAAAAATCACCAATTGCCTACCCTATTCTCCTTCACTTGTTTGTTATATATCCCTCTAGCCTAATATTGGCTAAAACCCATTTGCTTTTTGTTAGTGTACAAAGTGATAAAGACATAAAGAAGGAGAGAATATATTTATTATTCTGCAATGACGCCTACAAAAATATAAAATGATTATTTTAGAGACAGCTACTACTAGTCTATTTATACACAGAAAACTAGGACCATATAGACAACATACTAAAATACTAAATTACCCTTCAATGCCATCCCTTAATTTACAATTTTCCTAATCAAAACTAACAACACCAATTTGAGAAATTGATCCGTCTTGATCGTCTTTGTCAGAACATCTGCCAACTCCTTCTGGGTGCTACAATGCATAACTTCTAGTACTCCGTTCTGGACTTGACTTCTTAAAAAGTGATATTTTGTCTCAATATGCTTGTTTCTCTCATGTAGTATTGGATTCTTGGCAAGATTGATTGCAGACTTGTTATCAATCATCAGCTTCAGAGACTTATCTACCTTGATCTTCAGATCCTGCAATAGATTCAGAAGGCAAATAGCTTGACATACAACTACAACTCCTGTAATATACTCAGCTTCACACGTTGATAGTGCAGCAACATGTTGCTTCTTCGAGCACCAAGAAATAGGACCTCTTAGAAACTTAAACAAGTATCCAGAAGTACTTCTTCTATCAACTCTATCTCCACACCAATCAGAATCAGAATAACTCATCAACTCTGAATCTGTCTTTCTTCTAGAAGAGAATAGTACTCCATACTTCAGAGTTCCCTCGATATACCTTAGAATCCCGACAACAGCTTGGTAATATGACCACTTAGATTTACTCATGAACCTACTAAACAATTCAACTGAATAGCAAATATCAGGTATGGTATTACACAGATACCTTAGAGAACCAACCAACTGTTTGAAGGTTGTAGCATCCACATCCTCACCCTCTGAGTCAGAATCCAATTTATGATTTATTTCTGATGGTGTGACAACAGCCTTACAATTTTGTAGCTTAAATCTTTTTAGAAGCTCAGGTTCATACTTCAGCTGATACAAAATTATACCTTCTCAGAGTACAATACCTTCATCCCTAGAAAATATACCATATTTTCCAGATCATTCGTCTAAAACTCATTCATCAGCACCTCTTTGAACTTGATTATACTTTCTGAACAACTTCTCGTTAGCAATATGCCATCAACGTAGAGACATAACAGAATCATATTGCCTCCAGAATGCTGCACATGAACTCCATATTCCATCTCACATTTCTAAAACCCTTGCTTCTTGAAAAATGAATCAATCTTCAAATTCCAAGCTCTGGGCGCTTGCTTCAATCTATACAGAGCTTTATGTTATTTATACACCATCTCTTTTTAATTCTTTTTCACAAATCCGAGAGGTTGTGAAACATATACCTCTTCTTGTAACGAACCGTTTAAAAATGCAGACTTCACATCTAGATGTATCAAATGCCAATTTCTATTTGCATCTATAGCAATCACCAGCATGATTGTTTCATGTCTGACTACAGGTGCAAACACCTCAAAGTAATCTAACCCAGATTTCTGAAGAAAACCTTTAGCCATTAGCCTTGCTTTATGCTTGCCAATTGATCCACCTGGATAAAATTTTACATTGAAAACCCATCAGATGCTGATGGTTTTCTTCTTGTTTGGAAGCTTAGTCAACTTCCAAGTCTTGTTTCTTTTTATAGCCTCAAGTTCTTCTTTCATGGCATTCAACCATACTTTATTCTTGAGAGCTTCTTCAATAACCACTGGTTCAGAATATAATAACATGGAACACTGAACCACTTCTCTTTCGGAATCTACGTCAATGTCTTGTTGGCCTCTGAACTTGTTCTGAATCTTCTATGGAACCTGGAACAACGTTAGCTTCTGGACTTAGTCTAGAACCACTATCTTCAGAAGTACCACCTTCAGAAACATGATTACCTCCAGAAGCTTGTCCTCCAGAACTAACGTCTTCAGAGTTTTCCCTTCCAAAAACATGATCACAACTAGATTCTAGACCATCGTCAAAATATGGATCAGAATCAGATTCACCATCTGACTTGTAATACGGTAGGAGAACTAACTTGGTTTGCGTTTTATCGCAAATGTTGCGGATAGACAGAGTCGCCACCGACTTTTTTTTATCGAATAAAGAAAGGTTGAAAAGAACATGAAAGACCTTTAAAGATTTTAAGTTTGAAGGGTAGGTTATGAAAAGGGAAGGTGTTAGCACCCTTTTCATCCAAAGTTATCTACGGGCTCTTAATTGCTAGCTCACTTTTAAAATTGCTTTATGTGTGTTTGAAAATATTTTGAAAATGCAACAAGATCAAAAGTTTGAAAATAAGGGCAACTGTTGCATCCCAATTTTTTCCCCTAAGATTCTTCTATCATCTCATATCAACCCAATCACAACAAGATCACACTAGGGTTTGGTTCTTCTCCCAATCTCTAGGTTTGCTTATGAGGAATCACCAAGCACCTTGATTTGTATAATATGATCATCTATATTTTTTATTGATTAATTTTTAACTAACAAATACAATGAATGTTTGCTCTAATTGATGATCCTATAGGTGAAGGCACAACACATCTCATCAGGTGATTCGTAGGTGCATGAGTTTATTTCCATGTCTGCTTCAACAAACTTCATTGAGATTCAAGCTTCATCATTGAGAGTAATTCATAGAAACATCTTGATGAGGTCTAGTATGATTCATCATACCTCAATTTGTCAAAGAAATTCAAAGGATGCAAAAGTTAATTTAAGAGGTTTGACCTAATTAAACAAGTTCTTGATTCATTGATCACAAGTGCATAATTCCATCAAGTCTTAATATTTGGAAGTGGTTGTGGTTACTATGGTTTCTCATTATCATCTTAAACAACTTCTATTCACATGACAAAATTATTTTTGCAAGAAAGTTTGTCAAAAATGAAAGGGGCTTCCAAGGTATTTTGTTGCTCTATGAGCTAGGATTTTGAACTTCTAAGGGTTATATCTTGCTCATCTTTCAGTATTTTTGAGTAATTCCAAATAAATTCTTATCTTTAAAGGGTTATAAATAAATCACTTCAAAAATTTCAATAAAATGTTATGTGGAAGATGCCCAATGATGAAGAAAGATTACATGTCCTCTAGATATGCCATCAAATTCTCTTATGTGACTTCAAAAGATCATAACTTGGACAATTTTTATCTCCTTGAGCATATTCTTTTTCCACAATGATCTTAATGATGTGAACTTCAACTCTTCTTTTATGTGCAAAGCTTGAAAATAGATGGAAGATGTCCTAAGAATGTAAAAGATTATAGGTCATCTCATGAATTTTCACCGATTTTACAAGGCCATAACTTTTTCAATACTTGGTATTTTTTAGTGATTCAAGTTTCAAAATTCTATTTGGGAAGTCTACTTCAAGCTAGCATCATTGATAAAAGCTCAATTTTATAGAAAAGCCTTAGTTGAACTCAAAACATTATAGGTCACTTTTGAAGAAAAATGTAGAATTTTTCTAAGTACAAAAAGCCAGCATCTTTTTCTCAACTTTGACTCATCACAACTTGTATCTCAAGCATCCAATTGATCTCAATCTTTGTACATTATAAAGTATGTTACCTCATCTTTCTAATGCATCAAGAATCAGGTCCTAAGGTTCTCTAAATCATGCACACCATGAGTTCAAAGACAGCCACTTGAAACAGATTTTTTCCTCCAAGTCATAATTTGAAATGCACAGTTCAGCTTCTAATCACTAAATTGTTGTGCGTTTTTACTTCTAATCATGTTTAACAATCTTCCAAAAGTTATTAACACCTTGAAACACAAGTTTTGACTGAGTTTTGAACAAAATATGAGTCACATTTTCCATGCTTGCAACTTCACACGAATTCCCTCCAAACTTCATCATTCCACACGCTTGAGCATCCCATTTGATTCCCTATAAATAGAGGGTTATATTTCACTTATTATTTCAAGATTTTGATAGCCAATTGACCCCTGTTCAGATCCCACACGAACTCTGAATTTGAATTTCTAATTTCTTGCTTTCTCACTCCAAAACACCAAAAGCTCCATTTAGTTAGCTTCATTAAACTTCTATGGAGCTAACCATACTCTTACCTTCAAGAATTGTAACCTATTGTTTACCGTGGAAATTGGTAAACAACCGCTGATCCTCCAAAAGGTTACTTATTTGGTGACTCGCAGGATCGATCAGATTGATCCTAAGACATGGTTGATTTTTTGGGGTTTGACTAAGTCTAATGATGGTTAATGCCAGGAAAGTAAAGACACTTTATGTAAATTGCATGAAGAAAAGCTTGATAGAATAAATGAAAGCGTTAAATAAAGGCTTCGACAGAGAAGGGTAAATGAAAAGGCAATAAAGTGCTGGAATATAAAAGATTTTGATTAATTTAAATGGTGTTTCACACATACATTCTCAACAATTCTTTCGCTCACACTGGGTACTTGAATCTAAATGAGTGACTTGTATATAATGGTGAACACACGCGAAAACTACGTGAACAACTAGTATTTATACTAAACACATCTCAAATAACC